GCTGATACTGTGGGATAATGATGTAAAAATGATTAAGAAATTCATTCGTAAACTTAAAAACGAATATAGGAAAAACTTTGTAATTAGGTTGACAAACATTTTGTTATAAAAATCAATTACATCTATATTTTCGTGGTTAAAACTACGAACTGATCTTAGCTAGAGAACGCAAAAGTACTGAACAATCATTTTGTGTCACTATAAGACTCTTCACTTAAGCATATCCACGACCCTGAATCTGTGAATTAAACCCAGGACATTTGCTCTCTTGACTGAATAGTTAACCACATAGTTACAGATCTCCGGTAGTTAAATGTTGTACTCCTCAGTTGTTTTCTTAAACGGTTCGTGTAGAATCATTTTTCTTTTTCTCTCATTGTTTAGTATCCTTTAACAAAACATCGACTTAAAGAATGTGAACTTTTTCTTAAGAGTTTATACGACACTATATAACTGACAAGTGTTATTATTAATAAAGTTTGGTCTATTTTCAGTAAGTTCATTTCTCAGAATATTTTTAGATGAATGTGAAAATAATCATTGTATTAATTTCAACTGTTTCAGTATACCGAAATGGTAACTGAAATCATCGTCATCAAATAAGTAATGTTTGTTATTAAATAACGTAATTATATTCAGGTGTACTGATTTAACAAGCCTCATCTCGTTTATTCTTTTTATATCTTATTACATAGTGTTTTTTATTATTTTAAAAGGTATTCATGACCTATGGTTACAGTTAAACAAAGTCTATATTAAGCGATTACTTATCTAATTCATTAATTATCTAGTGGACTAATTCCAAACATTGCTAGTCAATTACATTGTTTCCTTTGAATGTTTATTGATTTGATAAATCATTTTTGATGAAAGTTTATATAGTTTCGTTACATAATCTTCAGGTATACGTAAAGGAGTGATAGTTGAGTAAAACTCTTTATGTAAAGAAGCGGAGCATCTCTCATAATGTTCAGTGAATTTATTTGCTTAAGCCAGTGTGTTCTTATCATTGTTATATTAATCCCTGTATCTTAAACTCAAAGATTTATTAAATTTACATTTGTTTATTAGTACATCCTAGCAACAAATCAATTTTCAGATGGTAGATTTAGGAAAAATACTTGTTGTGTAATGTGAAATATTCGTAGTTTTGGGAGATGATTCTGAAGTTGTGTTCTCGAAGTTGCGTCAGGTTAAGGGTGAAGGTGATCGGAAAATATGTAATGAAAGGTCAAGTATCAGCATTAGTGGTTAAAATTAAAGCTGTTAGGGATATTTGAAGAAGTTCAAATAACTTGTTTCCGTTGGAATTTTATGTTGATGATGCCATTTGGAGAGATAATGAAGGCTTCAAGATAAAGCTATCTAGCTTAGAGAAAGCATCTCTACAAAAGTTGATGTATACATTTAAAGCTGTATTTTTACTTCTTAATTATAATGAATTCTGATCTAAGAAACGTGAACAGTTGTAGTCAAACCCAAACCATATATTGTTTAGTTTGACACCAATCCTTATTAACTACTATCAGTTTTAATATTCTTGTCCAGGTAGAAATACAAATAGGAGGATTCGATTGCGAGTCACCATTAAAACTTTGCTTGAAAATTCTGATATTAGTTTGACCAAATGCTCCGCACGCTCAACCTCCAAGCAAGCACTGGTTGTTTATTTAGTTTTTAGTATATGGCTTTTGTGGAGATTATTGAATTTCATAGTTCATTTCAAGGACTGAATTTAGTTGATCAATCATTAAAAACCAGGAACATTGGATATATGCTTACCTCTAGTGCGTAACTCCACACCTTTACACATACATGATCTTACTAAAGATCAAACACAAGACCTTCAGGTCTCTCATGAAACTTCAACCAATTCACAATATTCCTCAGTCATTATACAACTACCTCCATTACAACATAACTAAATTCCACCGGTCAAAGTTTGACACAGGAACACTGGAAAATGTCTTCTCAAAATTACTCACTACTGAGTTCATGTTTATTATTATTGCATCTATTTTATTTTGTTCATCTATAGTAGCTTTTTTTTCTAATTTCTTTTCTCATCACATGAACCATATTGTTCTTTTTTCTTTTGTAAAATCGATACAGTACCAACAATATACCTTTCTTTATTAAATAAGTTAACAAATACTCAATTATTATTCTAGTTAACGGAAAACTGATTAAATTAAATCTAAACAAAATAACCATTTTTTAAAAAAGAGAAAAGAAAATAGGATTTATTTTTATGTAAATAAAATAATTGTTAATGTAAATTAAACAAACCGAACAAATTTCACTGGTTGAAATCATGAGTCAATTGAAGCTAGACCACCATGGAAAATGTGGAAGCACTGGACGTCTGCTTCGTCCTAGTATAGGACTCCTCAGCAGTGCGCATCCACGACCCCGCCTCGTGGGATTCGAACCCAGAACCTATTAGTCTCGCGCTCGAGCGCTTAACCATTAGGCCACTAAGCCTACGGTGTTAATATCTAACTTCAACCAATCCACGAAGTTGCTTCTTGAAGTCAGTCACTAGTGAGCAGTGCTTCCACGTTTTCCATGGTGGTCTAGCTCCAATTGACTTATGCTTTCAACCAGTGAAATTTCTAAAATCCCCACAAAACCCCTTCTGATAAAAATCGAACAAAACCATTTAAAATAATTTAAGTGAACACATAAGAATATTAGGAAAATAAAGATAAAAAGAAAAGAAATATTGAACAATTTGATAGATACTATGACTGAGTAGTGAATTGATTCACGATTTAATCTTTTAAGTAGTACATTCTGTCGTACACGCAATTCAAGTATCTTTGAATAATAAATAGCTAACAGCAGATATACTGAGCAATCATTCCCAGTTGCTATTGATCCTTTTCATGTCTGCTTTCAATTGTCGGCGCAGTGTGCGCCTTGGCCTTCCGCTTTTCCGTTTCCCATCAGGATTCCAAGTTAGTGCTTGCTTCGTGACTCAGTTTGATGATTTTCACAATGCATGTCCTATCCACTTCCAACGTCTTTTCGTAATTTCCTCTTCATCGGGAAGCTGGTTTGTCCTTTCCAACAGTAGGCTGTTGCTGATGGTATTCAGCCGACGGATATTGACTATCTTACGTAGACATCTGTTTATAAATATCGATAATGTAATAAGAAGACGAATATTATCAGAAATACATTTCGATGATGGCTGTAGTAGTTCTCCGCATTTGAGCTCCGTACAATAAAACTGTCTTGACGTTCGTATTGGGGATTGTGACTTTGATATTGGTTGACAGTTGTCTTGAGTTCCGTATGTTTTTCAGTTGTAGGAATGTTGTCCTTGTTTTACCACTCCTCGCATTTACGTCTGCATCTGATCGTCCATGTTGATCGATGATACCTGCTAGATACGTGAAGTATTACACATCTTCCAGAGTTTCGCCATCAAAAGTGATTGGGTCGGTGTTCTCCGTGTTGTATTTGAGGATCTTGGTTTTCCTCTTGTGTATATTGAGGTTTACTGATGCAGACTCTTCCGCTATAGTGGTTGTCCTTAGAAATTGTTAAATCTAGTCTTTGTAAGTAGAATACAGCAAAAAAACTAGTCATATTCACAGAATTTTTATTAAGTTACTTGTCTTAAAAGTTTATATTGATGATGTTTGTCTGAAAGGACAATAAATGTTGCATCGATTATTGAACACAATTGAATTAAAATCATCCAGAATTGTGAATTTTCTCAATCTATTCATAATTTAATCCTTTTAACTAGTCATTAGTTCATTGAAATTCATTTGTAGATTTAAATAATCGGAAATTCAATTGTTCATTTATGTAAAATTATATTATTTTTCTAAAAAAGGAATCTAATTAGGTTGCATAATTAAAAAATACACAGCATGATATTTAGTTTGAAAAGTTCAGCATACTGTATACAGATTTAGATCATAGTTTATATAGCTTAATATTTACTCCACGTAAATAAAAAGACAAAATCTAATGATATTCTATTCAAATAATTATAAACTCATTCAACAGGTAAATAATTCTTTTCTTTTAACATTTTTCTGTAATAAGATCGTGGATGCGCACTACTGAGGAGTCCCATACTAGGACCAAACGGCCATACAGTGCTTCCAAGTTTTCCATCGTGGTCTAGCTTCAATTGACTCATGATTTCAACTATTGAAATTCCTAAAAAATATCCACAAAACCCTTTCTGATAATAGTCATCTGCTCACTAGTGACTGACTTCAAGAGGCATTTTCTGGAGTTCTAGTGAAAAGCCGTTACCTGTGGAGTTCAACCACGTCTCTTGTGAGATATCAGCTCACTGAAGACAGTGATGTACGGTGGCGCAATTACGTGGATTGGTTGAGGCTAGACATTAACATCGTTGGATGCCTGTTGGCTCAGTGGTCTAGTGGTTAAGCGATCGAGCGCGAGACCAATAGGTTCTGGGTTCGAATATCGCGGAGGGCGAGATCGTGGATGCGCACTGCTGAGGAGTCCCATACTAGGACGAAACAGACGTCCAGTGCTTCCACATTTTCCATGGTGGTCTAGCTTCAATTGACTCATGGTTTTAACTATTGAGATGATTATCTAGATGTTTCAACTTTATATTTATTAATTACTTGTCTTGTTGAAAATCTATAATTTAATTTGTTTATACGTTGAATTCAAATACTATAAATAAGTGATATTTTCTAGTTGTCTTAATAAATTTGTTGAAATTAGTATAAAATAACAAACTTAATATTTTTGTTTCTTAATTGAATTACTCTAAAAGAACCATCAATTCTGGTATGAATCCCTATCAAGGTTGTGAATCTACAGTGTGAAACGCTCTCATACTATCGAATGACCTGTAGTTTTCAATGGAATATTCTGGATGAATATAAGAACTTCTACGTTTAGCACTGTTAAACAGCATGATATTAAATTATCAACTCACATTTATTAGTTTACCTATGAATGATAATTAGTAGTTTTTCTTGTTGACTTGGTAGGTTCAAGAAATTAAACCACTCAAGATCCTAAACGTTCAAAAACGTTTCACCGTATACAATTCCGAATTCGATGGAAAAGTAGCTAAAACTTTAAAAAAGACTCCATTACCAAAAGAAATGGTGACTGAGGTAAGAACCAAAACGTTTTTCACAATGTACATATATATATATATATATATATATATATATATATATATATATATATATATATATATATATATATATATATACTCTTTGGAATGTAATTTTGTACTGTAGAGTTTACACTTTTAGAGTTGAATTATATAAACTGAGTAAAATGAGTAGTTGGTTATAGTAACATTTTGTCGTTAACACCTTTGTTAAACAACTGTGGATGACCAGGAAGCATAGGACTACTGGTTTGTTGTAGCGTAGGTCTCGTCATAAGTGTGCATCCATAATCTCACCAGAGATAACTAAAACCAGGACCTTAAGGTCTCTTGATTAACGCCTAGTCTCCCAACTAACGAACTGACATCCATTAGTTGTCATATTTATCTACCATTAGTGAAAGACCAATTTCATGGTTGTTAAGAAATGTGTGGTAACTTATTAAACCCTCAATTCTCAAATCTCAAAACATTCCTTCTTTTGATGACCGAAAAGTACTAGATTACGTAATACGAAAGATAACAATAGACTTAATAAGTTAGTAATAAATTATAACGTGAAAAAATTTTCATATATATACGACTGTACAGCTTGATGGAAAAATATCCCTTCGCTAAACTTCCTGTTTTTAATGTTTAAATGGGAATTATCTGTCAGTCGACTGAAAAGTAAACTAGATTAATATTTAAAGTTTTATCGACTCTTGAATGCAAACTTGATGAAGTCATATGCAACCATTTTGTGAATAGTTGTATTAGCTAAATGTATTTTAAAGAACTTACTAATATCACTAGAAAGCAGGGAGTGGAAACAAAGGGTTACATTGAGGATCGATCTATTTTTATTTCTCACTCCATCCATGAGTCAGCTTCATCTTCGGATATCCTGTGTGATAAAGTAAGCCAACATGCAATTATACTAAATCCCGCTTGGTTTATTACTGGCCGGTTAAATTAAAAATAAATCATTCCTTTAAAATAATGTGTTTAGATGAATCATAGGTAATACGTTGTTTTCTAAAATCAACATGGAATATTATCACTTACTTAAATGAACAGACGAAAGGTGTCAACAAAGTTAACACAAACAGGTACACAAACATACTTCTCGTTGGTAAAATACATTCTCACACACAATATCCATGATGAATCAATAAATATTTATTGCCGAAAATTCATTTGTTGACGGTTATGTAATCGAAATTCATATAACTACTAAGTAAATGATTATATATATATATATATATATATATATATATATATATATATACTTCGTTCAGTAAGATGAGAATCATATAAAATAAATGAAAATAAACATAATCGCGAACACAAAATATCGATCCTAATTTGTTTTATTTTATTTATGATTTATGAGTACATTTCACGTTTGTTTTATTTTTCGAAAGGCACTAATCTGTACCTAAACACCTTGCTTTCAAAGTATTTGTATGTTACGTCTATAAATTGAAATTTCTCTTGACATCATGGAGATACATGTATACTAGTTGCATCAAAGTTGCTTTACTGTTCAAATTCATTAATTTTTAAATTTTCATTTCATTGTACCATTGATATGTAAAATCTCATAGTGAAATATTTATATCATGAATAAATGTTTGAACTATTTCGTTATTGATATACAGGACTGATTTTGGTTAGTCCCAGTTGTTATATGTGAATCTTGTGTATATTGTCTTGACATAGCCATTTCGCTTTAAGTTTTATAAGATGAATAGATTGTGTCTAGAAGCGGAATTCAACTATTAAAATTACTACAATCTCCACAACCCTCATTCTGATCATATAAAACAGCGTAGAATTGATAGAAAGCAAAACATTCAATAGATTTTGTACAAATTCCTTCTTGAAAGAGAAATTTAAAAAATAACAATTAAATCTAACAGAATCAACGATGAATACCGATAACATCTTACTAATAACTAGATTACTACATGTTTTACAGTATTGATTGATCTTAGACAACCATTCTACAGGAGTACAAATCAAAGACCTCACCTGAAGGTCATGAGTTCAATTCTCGATAAGTAATCTTAAACAAACAGAAAACATCTATTCAATGCCTCCTGATCTACAAAGTTTGTCTAACTAAGATTAATCCATAAGGTAAACTATAAAATTTGACAATGTTTTTGGGAGCACTTATCAAAAAGTTGAATGATTATTGATAATATTTATATGAAGATAATAGCCAACAGAAAATAGCTAGAATTTTCTATATGCGGGTAAAAATAATGACGATGGATAATATTAATTAGTTTCTAGTGTCAGATTCATATCAGTCATTATAAATTAAGGTCATTTATTATTTTAATTGAGTTACTTATTTCTTTAAAATAATGAGAATAGTTCTTGAAAAGAAAATAGAGAATTCTATTAATTTAATATCAAGTGAATAGATCAATACATTTGATATATGATAAGAAAAATATTGAAATTATATATAAGAAATGATTAAAATCATAATCCGATCTAAGTAAGACCATAATCGGAAATCTGGAAGCACTGAATAGCCGTTTCGTCTTGGTATGGGACTCCTCAGAAGTGAACATCCAAGATCCCGCACGCGAGATTCTAGTCCAGGACCTTCGATCTTGTTTTCGACTGCTTAACCTGTTGACCACTGGACTTGCGGGTATCAAACAGCGTTAATGTGTTGACATCGTGGATTAATTGGAGTTAGACGTCGACACCGCTGCATGCCGGCAAGTTCAGTGGCCTATAGGTTAAGCATTAGAGCGAGGAGCCGAAGGTGGTGAGTTTGAATCGCGTGTGCGGGATTAGGGATGTGCACTTTTGAGGAGTTTCATACCTGGACGAAATGGCCGTTCAGTGCTCCCTGGTCTCTAATGGTGGTCTAGCTTACATTGACTCATGAATCCAACCATTAAAATTACTACAATCTCCACAACCCACAAATTAAAACATTTGAGAACGCCTAATATTTTAAAACATATATTTACAATGATTTATTAATGAACTGCTTTATTATTGAACACCTTGTTAACTAATATTATTTCAATAAATTATCCTCTTTCTTTATATTAACTCACGTTTAGTCGTACACCTATAAAATATTAATTTATTAGATATTTAATAGCATATTCTATCAAGCATTTTCTGACAATTTCTCGCCCATTTACTGGATGAGTATTGTATGTGAGGACATAATTTCCACTGAGGATTTTATATCAAGTTTAAACCACTTTGTTCACTTTTTCAATCCTCCAAGTTCAGATAGCCTATGATGGTGTGTTCATAAAGGATATATGTAGATATCTTTAAATGAGTGATATGAAGTCATCAGTGAAAATTATGCACTTATAATCATCACTGACCCATTAAATGCATGGAAATGTTTGAAAATGCTAAATACATAACCTTCAATGTACTTTGAACAAATGATGGATAACCTCACACCACTCATGTACATATGAATAAATAAACAATTGATAGGTAGAGAAGCAATCTAATATAATGATTAAAACATTTAATAATTTAATTATTAAGTTATCGGTTAAAATCTGTTCACTAACTTCGATCTGTATAACTGCATTTGATTACTGGTGATAAAAAATAAAATCTTACCTAGAACTTGTTCCTACTAGGTAAATATTGTAAAAGGTTTATTACATAAAATATTAATTTACACTTCAGAACCCAGGAAACGGAAAACAACACAGTATCAGGTAGAGACCAGTATACTTTTTTTCTAGCCAAATTCAAAGAGAGAGGCATGGACATGCCATTCAGTTGTTCAAAGAGCAAGAGATGGAGTGGTGTTCCAACCTATTATTACTGCTGAGAAGTCCCACCATAGGACGAAACGGCCGTCCAGTGCTTCCAGGTTTTCCATGGTGGTCTAGCTTCAACTGACTCATGATCTTAGCCATTGAAATTACTATAATATCCACAAAACCCATATGATATTATTTAATAGTTAAAAGTCAAACTCCTTCATTAATGAGCCACCAGTTTAGTGATACTGTAATGAACGAGAACACAAGTGGGGACAATAGAATGTATTTGAGCACAAAATTAAAGAACATCTTCGTAAAATCTGAGAATCATACAGCAAATATTTTATTTGCAAAATGTCAGTCAATCATCTCAGAATTCATTGTTCTTTCGTTTCCACACCAGTCGTTCTTTGTTCTCGTCCTCGTTTCTTTGATCTTCTTAACCTTTTGCCTCCAGGCACTTCACTTTCGATCGTTGATACATACTACTTATATCTGTCGAAATCAGTAGCACACGCCACAATACTAGTTAGCTAGTTATCTAGTCTGAATGAGGTGGAACCGAGTTCAAACCTAAAACCTCTTTGCCAAATTATGAAGCCACTGTTCCCTGTGTTTCTTGAGGAATCGAAGAACATATGAAATGCTCACATTTTAAAATTTCATTACTAGGTCGTATGTAACATATTTAAAAATCAACTTATAAATATTCGAATGTTGCTAATAGTTTTTGATAAAAATAAAAATATCATGATAAATAATGTATAGGGACAGAATATGTAACCATGAAGTTTTAGCTCATTTGACCCTCAGTATTCAATATGTATGCAATAGTTAATAATGTTTCATTCATCTAGTGGGTAAATGTTAAATACGAGAGCATTGCTTTCATTTCAACGTCTAACTTTTATATACTTTTGTTATCCGATAACTTAGCATACTCTACAGTATCCTGTCAATAGCTTTAAATAATTAAAATGAAATTTCCAATGAAAATTGTACTCTTACATACAGTTCTGATTCGAATAATAAAAGGAAAAATGGTAGGATAAACTAACTGTTGTGTTTTATATTATTCATTGAAAAAATAATGTTTATCTGCACAAATTTACATGTCTACCGTTTTTACTCATCGTTTATCGTAAGCTAACTACAGTACTCTATTTAAAGGTAATAAATAGCAGATCTAAAATAGCAATGAATTTGAATTTAACTTAGAAGTTTTAAAATTAAAAAATATATAAACCAACATCTTGTTTAAACGTTGTCTGTTTTTACAGTTTTCAATATTTAACATGTGTGTAGACCCTAACAAATTTTTAAGTTCGACCATCATAAAATAATTTAAATGAAAGCAGAATAAAAACGACGAAGCCATCTTTTTTTCATGGTTTTTCCTCGGAGAAATTTTGTCTCTTTTAAGTGCATGGAAACAAGTAAAGTGGTTTTGATTTCAAAAGATCCATTCAAAACATGTTTATTTGTTAGGTGGTTTTATTCAGCTAAGCTACATCTAGTTCACATGTACATTACTTGTCATGTTTTAATATGGTAGTTATTAGTTAGTTTTTGATATAAACAATGTTTACTTCATCCAGGTATGAGAAATGTCTGTCCGAATAATTTGTCTTAATATACTTTATACTACCGAAATACGTTTATAAGTAAGTCGAAAATTTGTCCGCCATTGCAAATTCTGGCTTGTTAAGAATTCATTAGAATATTCAATATACTGACTAAGAAATGACATGTACCAAGATAAATTACAGAAAAGAGTTACTGAATGAAAATATTTACCGAATAAATTAAATTGAAACTTTTATAATAATGACAGACTGACTATGGTCTTTTCTCAATACACAAATAAGATGTATTTTGACAACTACTGCATTATTAAAACGCAGTAAATTCATGTTCTATTATTTTATAATTGTTTTCAAGTTTCGAACTGCCAGGTTGTACGTCATTTCGACCGTGAACGCATAACAAAAGAGAATCATATTCATAACGTTGGTTCCATGTACGGTGAAAACATCTGTGTAAACTCTTCCATACAATCCACTAAATCTCACTGTTTACCAAGGGAAGCTAGTCATCGTACCCATATGTTTTTTTCTGGAAATTCTGTGTTGCGACAAACATTAAGCTTAAGATTAATAAGAATTATATATTGCAACACACAGAAATCTATCATAGAATGTTATCCCTTTCTAATTATGCATTACGCATAACAAATATATAACCAGCTAATCCATTAACTATCATTGCAATATACTTATTTTTTTGAAACAGTCTGATGCTGAATACAATCGACAATACATCGAATATGCCAAAAGAATTAGAGGTGCTGTAAATGTAAATGATCCAGCAGCATACTATGTATGGCAGTACGTAAGTTTACTAAAGTAACTTTTTGCAAATTCACTTATTTATCTCGATAGACAATGTATCTTATGGTTTCCGAAACATTTTAAAAATCTCTATTTAGTAAATTAAAACAAAATATATAAACGAACAATATTAATTTCTTATTTAAGCATTAAAAACACGATGATATATATATATTACTTACGCCTGGCCGCCGACCAGCATTCTGCAACCCACCCTGTTCTGGGCATTCCTCTCTAGTTCTATCCAATAGTTGTTCATTCTTCTCATGTCTGTCTCCATTTTTCGGCGTAATGTGTTCTTTGGTTTTTCTCTTCGCTTTTGGCCCTGAAAATTTTCGTTAAATTAATAAGCTTCGTGAAGACATATGAAGAAGGAATAAACATGACGATGTAATAGGTTACGTAGTATGAATAATAGCAATAAAATGATTGTGTGTGCAGATATAAAGCCTTTTAAAATTCATAAGCTAGCAACGGATTATAATGTGAATTAAGTGAGATGATTAAAATGTTTTTGTCAAAATAATTATAGGTGATAGAGGGGTAAAAATGAAATGAAGTGATCTCAGAGACAAATCATAAATAAAATCATGAGGATATGAGACATAATTAAAAAGAGGAGGGGACATTTTCAAATACGAAATGAAATAGTGATCATGATAATAATAACGATAATAGTAATGATAGTTTAAGGCCAAGGTAACGATGAGGATATGACATAATTCATTCGTACGCACCATTTTGGTTTGAGTTCATGAATGACAAGAGGATCTGCTATTTTAAGCAGTTGGAGACGAATAAATCTAGATTTATTTCCACCCATTGTATAAGCAACCAAAAAATCAACCTGTGGATCAGTGAAGTGATTCGTGTTGATTAGATGTTTAAGAATGGAACTTCTAACTGCTTTCCTGTTCATTATATCTAAGTGTTTCATAAGAAAACCTTCTGGATAACCCATTTCAAACAACATATTATGAATAAGCTCTAATTCATCAATTCTTGGAGCCTGTTACCCGAGATAGTGTTGTCAACACCTTTAATTGACTCTTTCAAGAGAAGACTGGACACTTACAGAAGCTTATTAGAAAAGGATTAACATAGACCGTAAACATTCTGTTCTTATTACATAAATCTAAATACGAAATTTGATCTGAATCTTCCTTGTTCATAGTGACGTCTGAGCATATCTTTCTAGCTCCATTTGCAAAACAACTCACTAGGTTTCTCTTGTAAAGAATGGGTACAAAGCCCAAGAAATGTGTCATGACTTACTAAAGAATTTTTTCTATACGCACTTTTACTGACAGAGACACTTTCTTTTCTGTTCAACAAAACGTCAAGTAAAAGTAGTTTGTAATCAAGTTCCTCCCCACATGTAAATCTGATTACTTAGTGTATATTGTCAAATTGCTCTAAGAGTTCTTTTTTTTCTAATGTTCTGATCAACGATAATGAAAGTATCATCAGTGTAACGGCAATAAAAGTCAAGCTTATCAATAACCTCTGTAAGAAGTCTGTTTTCTAGTTTTTCAGGAAAAAATCAGCAAGGATAGGATTGAGAGGTGAATCAATCACTGTTACATCAACTTGTCGTTGTAAATTTCAAAAGTCGTACTTAGAAATTAATCTTGTAAATTTCAATATTGATCTGTTTTTCAAATAGTTTATGACACACAAAGTCAATTTTCTCAGTTAATCGTACATAGGTAAACAAAAAAGTAGCTTCTGGCTATATCAATCGTTTCCCGTTCAAGTTCATATGTTTAAACTTGAAAATAAAACCGAAAACTTCTATAAAGCTTCTGTTAACGACTAATTTGTGCAGAGGATCCAAGATTCAAACTAACCACTTTATATTTTTATTTTGTGGAGAGTTCTGTGTATGTAAAACTGGATGATTATTAGAAATTAACTCAATTCATGGAAACTTTTAATATCTCTATCAACTGAAGTGATTATAAGTTGGACGTATTTGTATGCTATGTATAAACCAATTCTTAAGAAAGGTAGTTTGAATATATGATCGAACTACTATGATAATTATAAGTAATTGGGTTTAGTGTGCTAACTAGTAATACACAAAACTGTCAGATCTGTACTTCAGCAGCCACGTATGGACCAGTATTCAAGTCATAGTGGACTCTGTGAACACTATCAAAAGTAATGAATTTAGGATTCATAATAAGAGCGAAACACAAGACAAGTCCTCACATGGAATCCTCAAGGCCGAAGGAGGAGAGGAAGACCAAAGAACACGTTACGCCGGGAAATAGAGATAGACATAAGAAAAATGAACAAGAACTGGATGGAACTAGAAAAAAGGCCCAGGACAGAGTGGGTTGAAGAATGCTGGTCGGTGGCCCATGCTCCATTAGGAGTAACAGGTGTAAGTAAGTAATAAGAGCGAAATAATGTACAAATGAATTATTGTTTCATATCAGCATCACAACTATCTATCTATCTGTCTATCTTTCAGTCAATCTATCTGGCGGGCTAACTAACTAACTAAAAAACTAATTACCTAACTAACTAATTAACTAACTAATCAGCCAGAAGCCACTATTGTTAGCAAATTCTAAATCAATTAATTTGAAATACAATCTTAATAAAAAGGGTTAAGGACTTGTACTTAAACATCAACACAAAAGCTAGGTTCAAGACGTTTTACCGGTTATCTCTTCCCATTAAAACTCCCACAAAGTCCACAGTAATATCGAGTTAACTATATAACATTATTAGATAATGATGTTAATCAATATAATTTTCTTGTTATGTAAAAAAATTACTGTATGAAAAATCAGATTTCGAAATCTATTACAATAATTTTGTATAATCTATGTATACTTTATACACCTTTTCTAAATTACAGCTCAATGATGGTAACAGTGTTAGTCCTTTGATTGGACTTGATATTAATTTATATCCAATATTCTTGGAGGATGTCACTGGCAGAGGAACAAATGTTGTTATATTAGATGATGGATTGGATACAAGTCATCCTGATTTACAAGCCAATTACGATGAGACGATATCTATTAATATGGATAGACCGAAAGAGAATGGGTTAAGTCCACGTGGACCACGCAAAATTATTCCTGAGAATGATGGGTAAGTGTATACTTATTTTCCATTTTTAATATTTTTAAAAACCTTATTCCTAAGTGGTTTCTACTATTTTAGTGACTGCTCTTATCGCAAACTAATAATAATCATTGATAATCAGTAAATATTAAAGGACTGTTCCATTCCATATTGCTTTGTTTCAATGATATTCATCCGGAATCATATGCCGAATTAAGATGAAGACCTTTAGTTTCCTTTTTGAAACGAGCACGTTATAACTTAACCACCGAGTCAGAATTTAAAATGTTGTTTCTCTTAGTCTCTTATTACTCATATTATTAATTAATGAGAAATCTCTACCGACTTTGTATTTCGTTACAGTCAGTGATAGAATAAACCGTAAATTTATTCATAATTGCACAAATCTTTACCGACTGACCAATTTTCACGTAGTGATAAGAGTAATATCAACAAAATAATATATTTTTTAATTATTAGTCCCTTTTACGAATTTTAAAACTGTAGTAAAAAGACAAAGTTGATGTGAAAAATGCCGTTTATTTAAACAAAGCATTTTTAGTAACTTGATATTTTAAAATATTAAGGTATGATCAAATTGTTTGAAATATAAGAAGTAAATACATCATATATTATACATTATATTATGTAGATGGTTTTTAATAGAGGTGACATCATGTCAGATACCAACTTATCACATAATGACTGCTTTTTTCTATCAATTTGGATAGTACCTTCACATATTAATGATGAAATAAATAAATTTACTGATTAGAATATAGATAAGAGTGATAATCCTTGTGACTCAACGATCCGTTTATTTTGTGTACAACTACTATTTTTACTCGAATTTTTCTGAAGAGTACTCCACATCATGGTACAACTGACAAATATTCTTGTAAATGATCAAATGTTGGTGTGAAAAATCGTCGAATTTCATTATGTAATAATTCATTTGTTACACTTTTATTGAACAAGCAGCAAAGAAAGTCGATATATAAAATAATTCAAAATGATATAAATATATTCTTTTCATATATTTATTAACTCTGTTTTTCTAATCATCAGCCAGATGTTGGGTTGATATCAGAATTTAAACCAGAAGGTTAAAGAAATGCACATAATCCTATCTACCACACTTCACTCACTTAAGTGGTTTCATTAGCCCTGATCTAAAACGTATCTTTCAAATTTTGCTATACGGCACTGTATTTAGTCTCTGAATTACATAATAAAAATACTCTATTTTTTTCCACCATGTTAGAAACAGTATACCGATGTTAAACTCTATTTGATTTCATACAAATGAATAGCTTAGTCATTTTTTTATCTGTTATAATTCACATGGGATATTATTATTATTAATATTATCATTATTATAAGTTTACCTTTTCATATATAATGCTATGCTAAGGGCTTATTAACTTATAGAAAGAGTATTTGATGTGTAACCTAAATTAATCAAGGTAATATCTTATTAATCATCTTAATGTTTCTTTTTTTCGTCATTTCTAGTAAAGACGATTCAAGATCTTAAGTCTAATTGACATAACGTTTTGATAGATTGAAATCCAGTTTCGGAGAAAACTAGATAATTATATTAAAAATTTGTAGACATATGTAGTAATGATAATATGATCGTTCATTTTAGTTACTTAACTAAACTGAGTTAAATTATATATATATATATATATATATATATATATATATATATATATATATATATATATATATATATATATTACATCTTTTAGACATGGGACAAGATGTGCCGGTCTTGCTGGTGCAGTAATTAATAACAGCTTCTGTTCTCACGGTGTTGCTCCAAAAACTAAATTAGGCGGTAAGTTACAATTAAACAATGATGTTTATACCTTTTTGATGTTAATTCTTTAATCAGTAGGATATGTTTCACATTTCATTACACATTATTACCATAATAAAAGGTTAAAATTACAAGCAATTTTTAGCATATAAGTTTTTATTTAGTATACAAACATTGTTTGATGGAAATAAATAATATATTTGTAATATCCCAATGAGTAGAAAAATCAGATTTTCTGACGTTTCGTGACTTAGTGTAAGTCACTTCTTCAGAGCATAAATAACCAAATTGTTTGATGAATATAAGATGACATAAAATTAAGCTCAATAAATTAAAATGCCATTAAGAAAAGTGTTTACGTTGTTTATTCCGTTTTGGATTGGTAGAGTTTAAGTTCACACTTGGTGGAAATAAAACGATATAACCGATTATATTACATAGTAGTAGTGTACAAATCCACAGAACTGATTAAAGTTGTGAATGTAAACTGTCTGACATAAATTTAGTGGTCTAAAGGTTAATGCTCATCTAATAATTATCCACTGGATTCACTATGGTGGGACTGTGGATATGCACCCCAGAGGAGTCACACGTGGATGCTTAGTGCTTCCTGTTTTTAAACCGTTTTCTGATTAAGATTAGTCGATGATATAAACAATAAACATATACATATGTTAATAATCTAATATATATTTTAACGGTCTTTATCATCCAGTATTACAATGCAGTTACTTTTTTGTTTCCTACTACTTCCTCCTAGGTATACGCATATTAACTGGACCAGTAACAGATTTTGTAGAAGCTAGAGGTTTAGCGTATAAAGTTGAATCAATCAATATATTTTGTTCATCATGGGGACCATCTGATGATGGTATTACAATGGATCTACCACATAAATATGCAAAAGATTCATTAAGTTATGGTTTAGCAAAGGTAACTTTACACTAATAATTGATATATACATATATTCTGAAAATTACGCATTTTATTTATTTGTTTTGAGGTTTTCTCTTCTTAAGTAGCGATTCATTCCGGATTTAATGGTATTCGAATATTCTATTTGACTATATGGATGGAAAAATCAATAGTTGAGTCTTTTAACTTATTCTAAAGATAAGTATCTATCAAAGTGGTAGGCTTGTAGTTAAAGCCATGTCACAATCGATAATGGCAATCTCAGATAGGTTTATTTATATAAGGCTAGATTAATATTTATTGAAAAGTAAACATAAAGAAATAGATTAAATTCTCAGTAATTTCCTGTGTAGTGAAAGTAGAGAAAAATTTCAATTACAACAGTTTTTCTCAATAAAAAGAATGATATTTAACAACTATTCTGAATGATTATAAGCAAAGATGGATAGTGGCTAGTAATGGAATCCAGGATGCGCGTTTCGTCCTATCTGGGACTCGTCAGCTGGATGTGCCTGCATCTCAGATGCCAATAACGGACTGATCAATTGCAGTCTTAAACCTTAATCAGAAGATACAAGCAAAACAATACCAAGTGAATTTATTCTGGACGTTCTTTGCTTTTTCCTATCAACTAAAAAATTGTATCTATTAAATAACAAATAATTCATCAAGATAAAGCAGTTTGTAACGACGTAGTTCACTACGAAGTCATTTTTCACTACAAAATGACATTAACTGGATGACACATAGAAACTTTCTGCTATTGAACAATGATTTCTTTCTCAGTTGAGAATTTGTCATATTTGGACAGCCACAATTATACAGACGACTGGAATTAAAAACTTTCAAGTTTATTGATAAACGTAATAATTCTAGATCGTTTTGTCAAAATTCATTCGTTTATACTTATTGACTACAGTTCATATATTATTCATCTATTGCTTTTAACTTCTAAATGAAGACCTTCTGACTACCGGGGCAGAGTTTAAATGGTTTGAATAATTTTTTCTGGTTAGAGTTTTTTTAGCGAGTTAGTTTTCTACGGGATGGGGTCGCTAACCCCATGCCCAACCTTCCCCATTTGTCTGGGCTTGGGACCGGCAGCAGCCCCCGGAGGGACTCCAGGCGGAGTCACAATTGACGGAGAAGATTTGGAAGATGTACAAACCTTTACATACTTGGGCAGCATCATCGATGAACACGGTGGATTTGATGCAGATGTGAAGGCACGGATCGGCAAAGCAAGAGCAGCATATTTACAACTGAAGAACATCTGGAACTCGAAGTAACTGCCAACCAACACCAAGGTCAGAATTTTCAATACAAGTGTCAAAACAGCTCCACTGTAGGGGGCAGAAACCTGGAGAACTATGAAATCCATCATCCAGAAGATACAGGTGTTTATCAACAGCTGTCTAAGCAAAATACTTCGGATAAGTTGGTCAGACACCATCAGCAACAACCTACTGTGTGAAAGAACGAATCAGATCCCAGTGGAGGAAGAAATCAGGAAGAAGCACTGGAAGTAGATAAGACACATATTGAGAAAAGCACTGAACTGAGTCACAAGACAAGCCCTCACATGGAATCCTCAAGGCTGAAGGAAGAGAGAAATACCAAAGAACACGTTACGCCGGGAAATAGAGATAGGCATAAGAAAAATGAACAAGAACTGGATGGAACTAGAAAAAAGGCCCAGGACAGAGTGGGTTGAAGAATGCTGGTCGGTGGCCCATGCTCCATTAGGAGTAACAGGTTTAAGTAAGTAAGTAATTAATTTTAACTAACGACTGCTGTAAATATATGGGGTTATTCTTTAAAAAAAACAAAAAATACTACAGTTTGAATTTATTGCTGATGAGTTTTATTTTATATCATATGTAAGGATATTAATATATTTTGCTCAAGTTTTGGGAGATCCTATTTCTAGTATATAAAATATCCCAGTAATTTTTTATAATTTAGATTTATTCTTACTTACTTACGCCTGTTACTCCCAATGAAGCATAGGTCGCCGACCAGAATTCTCCATTCCACCCTGTCCTGGGCCTTCCTTTCTAGTTCGATCCAATTATTGTTGATTCTTGTCATGTCTGTCTCCATTTCTCGGCGTCATGTGTTCTTTGGTCTTCATCTCCTCCTTTGGCCTGCCTTGTGCCCTTATTCTAACTAACTTATTATGTATGATAACTGCATGTACTTACAAGTTATTTTTATACACTTACAATTTGTTATGAAACTATTTACTGTAGAAAAAATGAGGTCGTTGAAATATTTTTGTTCTCACTTATTCTTTGAAGAAATAGAATTCATACTTTTTATATGTTATACTATGAAAAAGAGATAGTATTAAAGAAAACGTTTAAGAATGAAGATAAATGGCTGCTAAGTATTGTTGAATATGTTCCAATACATATTTGTTACGATTATACATGATTTAAATTCATATAAGACATCAATTTGTTATAGTACTAAATAGTTTAGTAATAAACAGTACTACTATTATCATTAACCGGTGGCTTAGTTGTTAAGTCGTTCAACGTCTAACCATTTAGTTGTAGGTCCAAACCTCACTCAACGTACCTCAGTTTGGTTAACCGATTAATATTTATAGTATTTGAACCTAAAGTGTGACTCTAAGTCAAGTAAACAAGTCCATACCACGTAGTAAGTAAATAATAGTAAAGGGTTGTGAAGGTTATTGAATTTCATTGAAATCATGAACCATACTGACAGTTATTACGTCCTCAATGATGTACAACTTCGAGAGATAATTCTCGAAGTTTTATTGAGAAGCAGTGATCAGTGGAGCTCATCCATATTGGGTGTGAGGCAGTTACCCACCGAACACAATGGAAGATGGTTATACAATATCGTGGATTGATTGAAGTTAGATATTAACACCGTTGGATGCTGGCAAGCTCAGTGGTTCATAGGTTTGGATCCTGTGTGCAGGACTGTGGATGTGCAATTCTGAAGAGTCTGATGCTAAGACGAAACGGCTATCCTGTGCTTCCAAGCTTTCAATGATGGTCTGACTTAGATCAGTTTATGATTTCAATTAATAACAGTAATTGATAAAATTAACTCATTTGATTTTCTACATTTTTGAAAGGGTCGAAATGGTTTAGGTTCAATTTATATTTTTGCCTCTGGAAATGGTGGTTTGTTCGGTGACAGTTGTGGTGCTGATGGATTTGCCAGTTCACCGGATGTAATTGCTGTTTCAGCAATAGATAATCTTGGTCAAATAACTAAGTATTCAGAACCTTGTTCTGCAATCCGTGTATCAGTTCCTGTTGGTGGATCACCTGAAATGTCTGATATGAATATTTTGGTAAATAATAATGATAACAAATTCTTGTCTTTTAATCGTGTTATTGTTAACTATCAATAAAAATGATTATAAATTTAATTTTCACTTAAACTTTTGGTAACTATTACTTGCAAACGATCGACGTTATTCAAATACAAATAGATTTTATGGTACACTCAATTGAATAGCAACTGACAAACTACAGTAGTTCAACGCTAATAATCTTCACCTTAATATAATATAGGGAAGATAAAACTTTCAGGATAGTTTTTCTTATTCACAAAAAAGTCAAAAATTGAAATGGAACCAGTCTGTTTGTGATATGATTAGCCGATGGCCTTGAGACACAGCAAATTAGAAAACTAAGAAGGACAATAGCCAATCAGATAAAAGCAAGGGATATTGAAGAAAATCTGAAACTGAAAAATGTTGAGGATGGTTAATCTCTACGGCAACAATTACCATGTAATAACGAAGGCTGGATAATTTGAGCCCTTCTTATCAGTTATCACGTAACTTTTTATCTTATTCATTCAGTGTAAATGGAAATACTAGTTGTCTATAGTCGATTAATATCTGTTTATGTAGATCGCAAATATTAAAATATAAGATACAATATCCTACCCGTCATAATTAATTATACATAAATCGATAAATTGCTGAAAAACTGTAATATTTATTGCGTAATTCCGGATAAAAGAAATCAAAAGTTATCGTATCTAATTTCTAATGCTTTAAGGACCTCATTTACAACCTCGATATTATTTAAATTTGGACTAATGAACAGTTGATATCATTTTATCCAATAACGATATCATTTTATTTTTAATATGTTCCAGTGACCTTTGTCGATAAAAACTTATTAACCTGGTCAGCTAACTTACACTTTTCAAGTTAAATTACAATTCTTAACACTAGCTTCACTTAACCAACGATTCCACTGCATATAAACTAAACTTTTAAGATAGTTAAATTCAAATACTTGTAAATTTCTGAAATCTATTTCAGTTACTAAATCACATATCGTGGATTAGTTGAAGTTAGATATTAACACCTTCAGATGCCGACCAGCTCAGTGGTCTAGTTGGATGGCGCCTGGTGCGAGACTGATAGGTTCTGGGTTCGAATCCCACGAGGCGGGGTCGTGGATGCGCACTGCTGAGGAGTTCCACAATGAGACGAAACGGCCGTCCAATGCTTCCAGGTTTTCATGGCGGTCTAGCTCCAATTGACTCATGGTCTCAACTGTTGACATATAAGTAAAGCAAAATAAAGTAGAATTATATTTGTTACACTCAACTGTATACCTTATATTCTAATGTTATTGTTCACATAGTGATACACCATCCCACCTAAAATTAATCATAATTGACACTTAAATATCAGTAACTAGATAATAGATTAAACACTATTTAATAATATATAAACAAAGGTATTTACAATTCTTTGTAGTATAAAAAGAAATTAAAAAAGTAATTAATCCATATAGTTAATACAAAGTAAATATTAACTTCTTATAATTCAGTGAGTAACTAACAAAATTAATTTCTATAATTATAGTTTTTCCAATTTAATAATAAGAAAAAATTCGGTTGACAACATAATATGACTGTTATTATTACTATTATCATTATTATTAGTAGTAGTATTGGTAGTAGTATTAGTAGTAGTAGTCGTATTAGTAGTAGTGATAGTAGTAGTATTGTTTTAAAACGAATAATGAATTCATTAAATTTCATTGTATATCATAGTTAATGTAAGAGATTTTTATCATTAGCGATTGGCAATTAAATGAAAATAAAACCTAAATATTTGATACATATTTAAGTGAATGTTTAAATCATACCATGATTTATGATTTGCGAGTAATATGTTCAATGTAAAATTGATTCATATTATGAATTAAAATTTCAATTAATGAATTGTAATAAAAATCTAAGGTTGATAATTTGAACCATTAATATGTACTTATTAACTTAAAATGTTATTGAATCCTTACCTTTTCAAACTTCATGAATAACTGAATGATATTTACTCTATTGATGTACATTATTTTGATTCATATCTCTAATTTATGTACATACATAGTGAATGTAGAAATACTTCGTTCCAAATAGATCCTTTTAAGGACTCTGTACTAATATAAATACATGTATCATATGTTAGTACTATGTAGAAAAATGATAGTATGTTGTTAATGAAACAACTACCAAATAAATTAGCTAATCGTTTATTTAATGAAACTGATTGTGTATGTATAATAAAAGTAACATAGAATGCAAGTGTATGCATAGGATTATATAAATGATCAGATTAGTGAAAAAAATCGTACAAACGTTCCTTTTATCATAAGTGTTAGGTATGTCTATGCATATTCCTATGACTATATCTATATTACAGTTTGAGTGAGTACTAATTAAAAACTACCTTGTTATTAGTTAGATGACTATTAGTTGACTAAATGCAAGAGAACAGTTCTTTTTATTTTTTCTTTGTCAAGTTGTACAACTGTAAATAGGTGGTGTTCGAAAATCCGATGATAAATTAACTTAGTTGCACGTTTATAGTTAAAAGGAAGAATGAATAGGTTCATCATGCAGAATAGTATTGTGAACACTTTGACAGCTTGCCTGATTACTAAACATTGTGTACGTAAGATTAAGATATCTGGATGAAAAAGTTACTTTTGCCGATCTTTCGATTAAATATATGATCAAGATAGAGAAAAAGGCTACAGTAATGTATTTGAATGTATGAATTAGGTTTATTTATACTGATTATTATAACTTACAATGTATTTTTGTTTGGAAAAATACTGGACCAAAGTGTCAGTCGCTTAGTGTTTCATAAATGACGTGAAATGTGACCTATACACATTAAATTATGATACAGTATCAACTGAATGTAGAAAAATGGAGTTTCTGATTATCATTTATCTGTTCTTCATTCAACCAACAAAACAAAAAGTTAGAATAAATTTACTTGTCTAGTTTTACTAGTTTCATGGGAGCACTTAATTCCGGTAAATGCATGTGAACGTATGACACTTAAGATGCTTTTTATTATTTGTTAGGTCGATTAATGACCAATTAACGAAGTGGAAAACAACTCTTTAAGTTAGTACGCATTCTGCAGTTTAAGAATTATCATTTTCTTGAAAATACTACTGGTACATTCACCATTATGACTAGACCGGTTCACTAGACTCAAATTTCTCTATGAGTTCCTTTTTATTATCCTGATACAATGAAATCGAATTCTCTCATTGAATTTTTATTTTGTAGTAGAAGCAAACCAAATTGGACATCTCTTGTAGGTTGTGTTATTCATCCTGAATTCTTTTCTAGAAACGTGAAAGTTTGATTCATTTAACAATAATACAAACTTTTAACTTGTAAACTACAACTTTCAAAATACTTATTCCCTAACCTCCCTAGAAACGTTCTGTTAGCGTTGGACTTTGTAAAAGCATTACAGAAACTATTACTAAATTTTCGAGTAAACTGTCCGTTGAATATCTTTTCTTAAGCCGATTAGTCTTGAAAAATATGGAGATAATGTTTGTTCCAAATGTACAGCATCAGTGTAAATAGTGTTATAATTTTAACAGTATTAAATGTAGCATTCAAAATAAACAATATTTTGATCGTTTTCGCCGATATGATCAACGATATTTTTGGCGAGATTCCTTTCTGTGAGATACTGCTGAAAATCCAAAATCTAGACCCCCTCGTTGATCCGGAATTCGACTGCCACTAACCCTAGAAGAGCTTCAATTGAAATTATTTCCATTAATATGATGTACTAAAATAACTTTCACTGTCAAATTATTAGAAGTAATATAATAACAAATTTAAAAATTTCGTTTTGTAGCCTACTACAATGGAAAATGATAAGTGTATGAAGAGTTTTATGGGTACTTCAGCAGCTGCTCCAATGTTTGCAGGATGTCTAGCATTGGCACTAGAAGGAAAGTAAGTTGTAAAAGAAAACGGAAAAGAAACGATGGGTTTTGTGATTGTTCTTTTTGAAAAGGTTCTTTTATAGAGTGGGTTTGATAACTACTTGCCTAGCCCTCTTCCTTTACCAGGGCCTCCGACAGGTAGTAACCCTAGAAAGACTACAGATGAAAGGGACCAACAAGATTAATAAATAACTGAGCAAGGTCAGTATCAATCTTAGTGTTTTATACAGGATATTATACAGAATTTTTGTAGTTAGAAGTGATTGTTTTAAACATGTTCGGTTCTATCTACTGAGTGGTTTAGTTCTGAAGTTTTAATTATTTTGTTACGCAACTTTATCACAATATCTCTCAAAATGAAGTTATTACAATTTCTTCACAATTTAAGTTGATCTGGAATTTGGTTGGTTGTTATGCATAACAGTGTGATTTGTGTTTGCATATTTTCCTTGATTGTTTTCTTCCTTGGGATTACATAAATATATGATGAAAATCAAAAGGCATTGAATTCCTGTTTCACGCAAGCTTACAACTATTCACAACAATCTTTAATCCGTAGGAGAACCGTCAAAATTTAGGGATGCGATCATAATTTTAATTGAAACTGGACTTGGACACTATACGATTTTGGTTCATTGGTGTAAAAGTCAAATATTCGTGCACGAAACTAAGGAGAACGGGTTCGTTATCATAACATGAAATCGGAGATGAGCACTAGTAAATAATTCCGTACTTGGATGAATCAGTTGTTCAATGCTTTTAGACTTTCAATGTTTGTCTGACTTAGATCGGTTTATAATTTAAATGAACTTTGAATGCCATTAAATCGGGATTTTCGATACCAACAAAATTCTTATTTAATATCAAATAATAAGTTAGTGTGTTACACTTTTAACAAAGTGACATCAACATTCAAACCAGTGGATTTATTAAAACAAGAGTAATAAAGTATGAAAATTAATGTTTCATTATAAATATTTGAGGCTAATAATGTAATATTCATAATTTCTATGCTTGATTTTTAAAAATGTAAACTGTCAACTTTATATTTTCTTCCAGTCAAATTAGCAATCCAGCTGGTTTCACAAGGAAGAAAGCTATTCAGCCAGAGATATTATAGAAAGAAATCAAGTTAAATACTTAAAATATACTCGTCATATTAATGATCATAAATTGCATTACTTTGAACTAAAGAAATGCTTTATGATGGTCAGACTAACGAATAGTACTGTTACATGAACTCTAAATTTCTGATAAGATATGAATCAGTAATAAACACATGAGAACCTAGCACATATATATTAGTTCAAGATGTTCCACTAGTAAGTTGAAATTATCGAAAGAAATGCCAGAATAGTGAAAGTAGTAACAGTATCAATAGTAATATGAAAAACTGAATGAAGAATCCATTTGTGGAATGAAAATTATGAAATAATTGTAAAACTCAAGATCTAAGGGAGAATAAAGGTTGAGTATACATGTTACATTGTCACTGATTCTTAAACATGTCACCTTTACCAGATAGTCTATATCTATTTGTATAGCTTAGTTCAACAGTATGAAAAGTTATAGACAAAATATTTAGGTAGAGTTTCGTTCTTTGAGATGGACAGTTTGGTCGTCGCGCTTTCATTGTTCTTCCGAACAGCATCATCAAAACAAACTTCAGATAGAAGCGGAGTCTTAAAATTTCTCCATATATGACTCAAAGCTTGTCCCGTGAACCTCGATCTCGATTGGTTATTGTGGGCCTTTAACCTGTCATTGTAAACAACAGAGAACAAAAGCACCTAAATCATCCACCTGAGCTACAAATCCTCAGTTTACTTTTAAATTAAGAGAATATCATACATATGATACGACTACATTTTTAAGCTTCGTTACTGACTATTTTCTCTATTTAATGGAAAACTGTTTTTTGATTATATACTAGTCCTAAATTAACATGGCGCGATATATCACATTTATTACCATGGAGTTCACGTATTCCTAATCCCAATGATAAAGGTTGGTTAGTTAATGGTGCTGGACTATTTCATCATCCATATATTGGATTTGGAACAATTGATTGTTATCGTCTAGTGAAATTAGCTAAACAATGGAATTTTGTCGGACCACTATGTGTTTTAACCTACACAAAAGAAGTATATAGTGTACCAGACGACTGGGCTAAGTCACAGAATAACAAGAAAACGAATAATTTTCAACATTTATTTCAATGTGATGACCAATGTTCAGCAGGAATTATTCATCAGTATAAATCAGAATATGCACAAAGCTGGTGACTGATCTTTTGTTTTAGTGTTTATTATGCTTTCATTTTCACTGAATTAACGTAACAAGACTTATCTACTGATAAGATATTTTTAACGAGTGGCATGACTAAAAATTGGCTTGTTAGATGAGTTATGGTTATGAAAAGTGTAATTTCAGGTTGAGCATTTTGTTCTCTGAGCTGGATGGTTTGGTCGTTGAGCTTTCAACGTTCTTCTGAACGACATCATTAGCACAAACTTCAAGTAGAAGTGAAGTGTTCAAATTTCTCCATATGACTTCTATCTGAAGTTTTTGCTGATGACGTCGTTCAGAAGAACGATGAAAGCTCCACGACCAGACCATTCAGCTCAGAGAGCAAAACTCCGTCAAAATCATCCACCTGAGCTACGAATCTCCACCATCTCAAATTAAGCATCGTTATAATTGAAATTCTCTAGAAAAACGAACGAGTCAATCAGTTAATTATTGCATGAAAATGTGATATATATATATATATATATATATATATATATATATATATATTCAATCTTTGTTTATACTGATTGGCTTAAATATGTAATTAAATTTTTAATGAGTTAATATCCTATGGCATCATACAACTTACGGCTCTATGGGTTCTAACACACGATACATGATACACTAAAACATGGATTTCAATGCTTACTCGCTTAGAATTAGAATATCATTTTTATAAAAATTCGTTATAATCTCAGTCAGTTGTTAAATGTCCGTTGTTATTCATATGAGCTCTTTAGGAATTGTTCAAAGTTCAGCCCATTCATACTTCTACCTAACTGAACCGATCAAACATACAAACTCTTGCTAAATTCTCCATTCATTTCATTCAATTCTGGGATTTCGACATTATTTACTGTCATATAAAAACTTCATTTGAAATATCTACAAAACTACATCGAAATCAACATCAAAGTTTTAGCTACTTCGTAAAACTGTTCAAAGTCGAAGATTTCCAAGATGATGAAAGTCTTCAAGTCAGCTAAAAATCTAGTATATCAAGTGTTTCATGCTAACACTTTTGCTACATAAATACAGTTTAATTAATCACTGACAAATAACTTGGATTACATTGCCAAAATCTTTTGTTCTACTGATAGTATTAAGAAACTATCACAGTTTCAAGAATATCACAATTGAATTTGAATAACGTATGACAAAAAGAGTGGTAATCTACATTTTGATAGTTTTATTCATCACAATTAATTGCTGATCAGTCATTTGCTTCGACTGTTTTTTTATTGATTATATTAACTAAGAAGATCCCAGTATGAATGTGTAATCTATATGCTCAAAAAAACTGAGTTTACAGTAGAATCCAATGGCTCAAATTAAAAACTTAATTAGATTTGTAGTATATTATGATACTCAACTAATATTAACATCGATTTACCATTTAATCATCGGTTTGTTTTATTTGACAATTTACAATTATCTGCCAAACTCAAAACATATTTTTTTCCGTGAACCCCTAATATTTAATATGAACTATGTCTAGAAAAATAGCCGAAATATTATTTATGAATTACGGTAATATTGTAATGTCACGATAAATGCTACTGCGTATTCGATGGATATACCTTCACTTCATTCAGGATGTACATACGTTAACGAATACTTCAAAATTAAGATTTGAATATTAATGACAGAAAAATACAAAACCTTATAAAATTGTCTTTTTAGTTTATTTTCTTGACCAACTTATTTATTTTTTGTCTGTTTTTTTTTATTAAAAAGGCCACTTAAATCTCAATCCGATACCATAATTTATTTCAATTTAACCGATTTATCTGGACTGACTCAATATTCATTACCACAGAATATTGTAGAAAATACTCCATGTCAAGTAGAAATTGTTGAACAAGCTATTCTTCATGTTAAATGGAAACATTCTTGTCGTGGAAGTTTAGAGATGCATTTAATCAGTCCATCAAATACCGATGCATTAATATTAGGTCAACGAAAATTAGATACATATGCAGGTGAAGGATCAATGATATTTACGTCAGTGGTACATTGGGGTGAAATAGCTGCTGGTTTATGGAAGTTAAAGGTATATTTGAATCAATATTATCGTCATTATTACTGTTATTATAGAAACTATTATCATTATAATTATAATTATTATTGACTTCATTCAATAAATGTTTCAATTTAGAATTATCTGCATAGAGCCTTTAAACAAATTCCTTTTACATAAGAAGTTGAAAATACTATAACCGCACACAGACACATAGATGAAGTTAATAAAATACCCAGAATTAAATGAAATGTTTTGTTTAATAAGTTTAGAATCTGTACAATCTTTAGTTAGAAACATGTTTAAGAATCCAACTTTAGTAGTAGTAGTAGTAGTAGTAGTAGTAGTAGTAGTAGTAGATATTTTCATGGTACGTTAGCCCATTTTCACATATATCTTCCAGTTGTATATATATACAATCAAAAGAAGTTTTATAAAACCTCAAACACATTTCCTTCTGTTTGGTAGTTCAACATACCTTGAAGTAAAGTTCTGTTTTCGAGAATACTCAGTATTCGTGTCAGTATAGGGCTGTGGACATTCAGCTTCACTTAAATCATGAACTGATCAATGACAGATCAGCATTGGAAATTCGAAAGCACTAGATGACCATTCTATCCTAATTTGGGACTCCTCACTAGTACGCATCTGCAAACCCGCACTCGGGAATCGAACATAGTGCCTTTAGTCGTGGATTGGTTGAAGTCAGACACAACTTTGAATGATAACCCAGTGTTATAGAGGTCAAGCATCTGCGCGCGAGATCGATGGTCGTGGGTTCGACTTCTGGGTGCGGGACCGTGATAGAAGATTGGCGAGTAGTTTCATGTTGGGTCACTCGGCCGTCCAGTGTTTCCAGGATTCCAATATTAGTTTGTCATTGATCACTTCATGATTTAGATTCACGACACTGTTTTTTTAATTTCATTGAATATAAAGAAATACATACGGAGCTTTTTTCCGATACTTGTGCTTTTTAATTCTGGAACCAATTTATATCAGTTGGATTAATTTTAATACTTTAAATACTAATTTATTGATTTCATTGAGCTGAATGTAATTCTTCACAATGATTTTATTGTGATTGTTGTTACTACCATTAAGTTCACTGAGTTTGATGGTTGAATTATGGAGATTGCATTGTTCGTTAAAACAACTTCATACTCAGCTCCACAATTAAACTGTTTAACTTGATGAACTCAACGACACCAAAAGCATTCATCTGAGATGCAAGTGTCTTTTATCACATCAAAAAGAATTGAATATTTAGAATTTTCCAATATCTTGGCACAGAATGAAGCAGCTGTTAAAATATTAATTTATTCTTCTTAACAGTCATTTAACTTATACTGGATAGTAGTAGAATACCATCATATAATATTACATATGGCATGGCGTGCCATGACTTAATCAGTTCGAATGCTATTGACATAAGAACTTAATTTTTTTCCAGTCGTCTGTGACACGTAATCACATCGTGAGATGAAGTAATTATATGCATTAGTCAATTAGTTCGATCTTCTGATTGTAAATGTCTGAATTTAATGGAATTACATGTTCAAACAATGTCATTGATTAATTTGTGTCATAACTTGCAGCCTTGTATCCTATTAATATATAACGTAATGATACCATGAGTTAGAGAACAGTAACTTATCGACCGTACCAATGACGCGTAAAACTGTACGAGCAGTCTCGAGTCCTTATCGGTCTTTCTTCTTGCCTAGCCCTGACTGTTGAGTCCAGAACACCAGTCTCAGCCTCCGCCCTAAGAATCATATATTTCAAACATACTTGATTTATATACAAACCAAACAGGCCACATCGTACAATAAAATACAAAATAACATTTGTACAAGATCTAGCCAAAAGTAACTGTGAATATGAAAGACTGTAATTAATCGACTGGGCATAACTCAAGAACGGTAAATCGTATAATAATACTCTATGAGTCAAAATAAAGATTTTAATAAGAGAAACATGAATATGCATAGCTTAGCTACTTAACAATTATGCAATAAAAATATATGTATCATACTGGTCCGTAACTACTTCTCAAAAGTTACCATTCATAATTCTCGTCGGGATATAACAATTTGTGATAAATACTATTCAGTGAAATTTATACAAATTGGACCGTAAAGAAATCATATAAGGTAATGTGTTCCGATGTTGTCTCCATTTATTTCCGAAGTCAAATAAATCCATATCAGGAGTGCTATTACTTTTACTACGCGTTGTCAGATTCAGGATCCAATACTTAGTTTAATATCTGATAAATATTAAACCATCTTAATCCATCTACTTTTATTTTACTGAGGAAAAATGTCTAACGAATTCATCTATATTCGTTTATTTCTATTCATTTAGATTCATGATCATGGACAATGCAAACTAAAACAATCCACTGATGATGATAATAATGACAATATCAATGGTTTCATCACAAGTGCTCAGCTAACAATTCGTGGAACATCTAAAAACAATAATGGATTTACTATGAATAAAAATCTACTAGAACCATTATTAACAACAGTTGGTAAAAATGCTTTGGCCACTCATTCTGGACATGAATTACAAGCAGAAGAAATTAAAAAAACATTTATAGAACAAAGAGATTTATCATTTTTACTTTCTAAATCAATATTTTAGTAAGCATTTTTTTATTACTCAGTGTTACCTACAGGAGGTTTGTGGGGGTTGTTGACTTTTCATAAACCTTTTTATTCATTGATTTTAGTTGGATAACTATTGAAAAAGTAGGTACTGGAGAGCAGTTTCTCCCTAATACGGAACTCTTCAGAAGTGCTAGTGCATGCGAGACCGAAGGTTCTATGTTCGTTCTCCGGTAAGGTTGTGAATATATATTGCTAATAAGTCGCATAAAAGGACGAAACCCTTGTCTTGTGCCTTCTATTTTTCAATGATTTTCAACCTAACTTCAATGAATGATGTAATTTACAAAGTTTAATCAGTAGTATTTTTACCACGAAACTTTTATAAATGAAAAATACTGAATTAATCAAGTGAAGTTGACATTTCATTCATTAATCATTGGACATATTCAAATTTAGCGTAGTTTGTTAATCAGATATTTTTTTCTATGCATTTTATTAGTTTGGTTTTATTTATAATGTTATTGTGATTATGAAGATAATTGTTGTTTAAATCCTTAATTCAAATGAAGAATTATTAAGAATTGTGGAGTATATTGACTAGATATTTCGTTCTTGATTAAAATACTCTATAGCAACACTCCTTACAATCAATTTCGATGATAGTTAGTTTTGGTTAAGCTCTTTTATTACCTTACTAAACAGACAATGTTATTAGAACAGTAACAATTCGCATAATTCTTTGCACTATTATGATCACTATCATATTTGTATAAATGCTTACTCTTGATCACACGACAGTCTATGCACATCTTTCTCTAGCTTAAATGTTGATAGCATAAATATCTCTCGATGAATCATTCTCTTCGTCAAGTATATATGTATTCGAATCCTATTATTAGCCATTTTCTTGCGTTGCTGCGCCTTATTTGATTTGACTAGAAATTTGCCTCTATATTTGCTCTAATTCGCTTGATGTGCTTGTAGCTTTATTATCCATGTTATCCGCTAAGAAACCATATTTGCCACTTCTTATCGCCTTCTGATTTCAAACACCGTTGAGATTTATATAATAATGATTACAAAAGTGATTGATTAACGAAGCAAAACCACTTCAACTTTTATCGTGTTAACCCATAAATTTCATAGGGAATTGAGACTGATCATTTACTATTAATGACAATCATAAGCTCCGTATTATTATATTTATTTAATTGATGTCAAGTTATTCATAATTCCAGTTTCCGTCTATTTATGATACATTAATATCGTTAGTAAATTCCGTTTACGAACTATTGTCACATTTCCAACTTCATTGCTTAGAAACAAAAGAAAGAAAGAATTTATTTTTCATCTTGATAAACAAGTCTTTATTCAAAACGGAAATTATAATCAAGTGTTTGAAATTCAATTAGAACAACACATAAGCGAACAATTGTTTTCAATTAGATCATCATCAGGCTTTACTCTAATATACAGTAATATTTATACGAAAATGTTAAACCAATCAAGGCAATTCGAGTGAGTAATTACAATGAAATAGGGTAAGTCATCACACATAATAGATAAAAGTACAAGTTGATAGTAGGAAGACTGGTGTACTGATAGTAGGTAGGAATAATAAAATACGATAACAAAAGTCTTATCAATAGTTAAACATTAGAAATAGAAGGTCAAACGTGGGTAAATAAACTTGAAATAGTCATCACAAAGCATTAAAATCGTTACGTGATAAGAAGTGTGTAAATAATTAAATAGTGAAGAATACAAACGGAAAGAGGCGGATAATTACAAACAAATAATGGATGTAAAAATAAGGTTAATAATAGCCAAAAATAGAATAAAATAAATAAATAATAATAAAAAGACAAAATTAAAATAAATAAATAAAAATAATAATCGTTAGTTAAGTTATAACTGGCCATGGAAGGGATAGGGGAGTTACAAATTTCTTTTGTACACATAAATTGGGGTTATATGTACAAATTCCTATGGCTTCAGCTATATGCAGGAGGTGGGAATGAACTCCATTGGGAAATGATGGAGGTATACGATAGATCACTCTACCGCATGACCACTATCAATAAGATGTGCCAGGATTGAACTGCGTACTGTTGTTTTTCTGGCCGTTTATAAACCAAGTTGGTAGATGTTCACTCATTCGTTGGTTAAGTTGCCTGGTTGTACGCCCGATATAGCTATCTCCACAGGAGCAGCTGTGTGATGACTTATCCTATTTCATTGTAATTACTCACTCGAATTGCCTTGATTGGTTTAACATTTTCGTATAAATATTACTGTATATTAGAGTAAAACCTGATGATGATCTAATTGAAAACAATTGTTCGCTTATATGTGTTGTTCTAATTTTCACAATGGGAATCTTTAATATTCTGAAATTCAATTACTTAATTCACTATATTATAAATTAAAAACGGTTGTAAATGATTTATTTGTCAATTTCCAAATTTAAATTTATTATCAGAAGGGGTTTTGTGGATATTATATGGTAATTTCAATGGTTGAGATCATGAGTTAGTTGAAGTTAGACCACCATGAAAAACGGCCGTCTAGTGCTTCCAGGTTTTCCATGGTGGTCTAACTTCAACTGACTCATGATCACAACCATTGAAATTAAATTTATTATTTAAATAATCTTAAAATATATTGAATTTATTTTCGTAAACTTTTTTGTGTTCCATCAGATTAAGAGTAAATTAGAATAAGTAATTTTATAATTAATGTCAGTTATTTCACTGTCCATAATTTTTTTTCTAATCATTAACCTATTTCCCATTATGTAATATTGATTGAAGCCTTTATTATTCTTATCAAAAACTAGTACACCTATCATTACACTATCAATTTGCAATTTTCACTTATTATGTAATCTTTTTCATTGTTATCATGGATTCATAAACTATCTTGATTGGTTTAATAATTTCGTATATACATATAAATATTACTGTTTATTAGAGTAAAACATAATTAAGATCTAATCGTAAACAATATTGTTCGCCTATATAAGTCAATTATTCTATGAAAAATACCTTCATATTGTGATTGTATTCTAACTGTATTGAGTAATTTTCAATGGGTACAATGAATGTAGCGCGAAAATTATTTATCCTCAACTTCATTACTTAGAATATATGCTATTCTATTACAATAAGTAATCGAAATCAATAAACCATATAGTAATTCATAAACTGTATAATTTAATAAACTGAAATTTAAATATGATGTTTGTCTCATTCAAATTCCCCTCCACTTTGTTTCTTTCCTCTTTCATATTATTACAGATAATTTTCAAAAGACTAATTGGAACTTAATGGTTGTGAAAAAAATTTTTTTTACTATTTATTGCATACATAATTTATATATTTATTCGTATACATATCAATTAATAGACACACACACACACAGAGAGAGAGAGAGAGACAGATTAATTGTATCATGTAATTTATTATTCAAGATGGATGTTTCTTATTTTAGCCTTATAAAATCATTTCACATATAATTTATATTCAAATTATTCAACATTTCTTTTGAAAATTTGATTACAATATTCTAATTAATTTATTGTAATTTGTCATAAAGATAAGGGATAGTTCAGCAATGCAGTAATTTGGAAGACTCTCCTGGTTTCTCACATTTTACGAGCATTCTATGTACCTAAATAAATGGTTGTTTTTGGTTCTCAGAAGGGGCATCAGCCTCGTGATTTCCAAAGGAAGTCGGCTTTCACCATGAAACGTTATAAGTTTTCTGACTCCCACGGTAGAGTTTAAATGGTTTGAATAATTTTTTCTGGTTAGCGTTTTTTTAGCAAGTTAGTTTTTTACGGGATGGGGTCGCTAACCCTATGCCCGACCCCCCTCCTTTATCCGGGCTTAGGACTGGCAGTAGCCCCAGAGGGGATTCAGGTGGAGTTAATAAGGGATAGTGGGTGAAACTAAGACTCTGTGGTGATAATTAGTAATATGATATATGACTTTATTATTGTTCATTAGGAATAATGTGATTCATGCACTACTAACAATGAACTAAAAGATGGATGAGGTTAGGTTTGCTGGGATTGATAGATGTTCGGTAAGTAAGAAGTTAATACTCTACTACATAGATATAAGAAGCAAGCTATATCATCCTTAATTAGTAATAAATTCATTTGGTATTGTTTACTTGAATCTTTCCATTGTTGTTTAGAACTGTAATTGATTAGTTTCTTGTTGGCATATGTGCATAGTCACTATCTATCATTGCTTAATTAGTTATGTTCAAAATTCATATTGATACTCAATGAAGTAGAACAAATGTTACACGAATTGCATGGACTGAGGTCTTTACGGGTAGAAGTTGCGGGACCTCACATACCAAGGGCAATACCGCAACGTTCATAAAACAGCCCACCAGAGTTTAACAAAGAAGTCTAACCTTTCTCTGTAAAGTTAAAAGAATGCGGGAGAGATTTAGGTCACAATGAAATGATGATAGTGGACTCTGGGAGAATCTGGAAGAGATAATATAGCGAGCTTGATAAAAATGTCTTAGAGTGCTCATAACGCCTGGTTTTGCAAATAAACCAGATGATGAGAAGTGTGGATAGAATTAACATAGACTTATTTTGTAATTAATTTTTGTTGTTATTCGCATTTGCGACTAATTCATTTTCGAATTTGACTTATTTTACTCCATCATTTTCCAGCGCGAATTAAGTCAACAAGTATATACGAGGGTTGGCAGTATGTATAATTCGATAACATACGATCTAACTGAAGTCAGGGACAAAGCCAATAAAGAGGACACGTCTGTGGGATCAGTGAAAAAACACTGGAAATTAGTCTAAATATTTGCCAAGCTGAATGCATTCTTGCCTCAAGCGGCTCATTTCCAAACGCTTTATAGTTAATCACAACTCATAAAGGTCGAAAATGGCTAACATAGAAAGAATAATCGACAGGCCCAGAGGACTAGTCGTCTCTAATACATTACCTTACTTGAATCGGAACTTTCTTTTTAACAAGATTTTGTCTGTGA